CTGGGCTGTGGCTCGTGAGTGACCCTCTCCCTTCTGAGGAGACCACTGCTTTTTCTCCAGTGGAAGGCAGGAGCTTCCTTCTGAGCCCTGAGAGGGAAGCTGGCTTTGCACCATTGCCCTCCTGCAGGACAGGGTTGCAGGAGAGGATGCGTGGTCCCTGTGGGATGAAGGGAGCTGTGTCTGCTGCTGTGCTGCACCCAGCTAACCCAGGGCCAGAGGAGTCTGGCAGGGTCTGTGGTCTAGCAACTGGGCAGGGCGTAAACGCCCTGGGTGATTTTCTTAGGAAACTGGAAACAGCTTTCTCAAAGGGGTTTTAAAGCAGCTGCAGAGAGACAAGTGCTGCACAGAGCCCACTGCTGCCAGGGTGCAGGTCTCTGTCCTAGAGGGGCTGTGCTCGTTGCTGACCCTGTTTAGGACAGAGACAGGACACAGGCAGTCACAGTCACGTACCACGGCCTTGTGTGCATCTGTCTGTCCCGCTAGCAAAGGCAGAAGCAGTGGTGGCCAGTAGTGCTGGTGGCCAGTGTCGGTCCCTTGCAGTGAGGGTAAGGAGCACAGGTAGGGAGTTCCCAGAGGTTTCTGAAACAGCAGAGGCTGGGGCTGGAGGATGGTGGTCGTAGGGCCCAGCCACCCTAGGTGTGGTGAAGCTGCAGGTCAGCCTGCATTAGACACTGGAGAATACACCTGGCTGAAATCCAGCTCGGTGCTTGTGGAGCTGCTCGCTCCCTGGCCCTGGAGACTCCCAGTCCTAGAGGAGGAGACACCAGGGCACGTGGGCTTCCAGCACTGTGGCTGCCCATCTGCGGTGGGGCGGCAGGGGTTTGCCTCCTGGTTGCATGAGTTAAATGAGGGGACTTGAGCTGGGATCAGAGCACAGACAGCGCCAGGAAAGGGTAGAGGTGGGGAAACGAAGGCACTGACCTCACAGGCTTGAGTCAGCCCAGCAGGACCAAGTCAAGGCCAAAGGATCTGTGCCCACGTCGCAGAAGGCAAAGGCAGGGACTGGGAGAAGAACCACCCACTGTAGGAGAACCACCCACTGTCCTTAGGTTCGACACCATCTAAGGAACCTGAAGTTGCACAAGGCTATGGGACCTGGTGAGGTGCATCCATGGGTCCTGAGGGAACTGGCAGATCAAGTGGCTAAGCCATCATATTTGAGAAGTCATGGCAGTCTAGTGAAGTTCCCACTGACTGGAAAAGGGGAAACATACTTCCCATTTTTAAAAAGGGAAAAAAGACCTGGGGAACTACAGGCCAGTCAGTCTCATCTCTGTGCCCAACAAGATCGTGGAGCAGATCCTCCTGGAAGCTACGGTAAGGCATGTGGAAAATAAAGTGATTGGTGACAGCCAACATGGCTTCACTAAGGGCAAATTGTGCCTTCTATGGTGGGATTACAGTGTTGGTGGATAAGGGAAGAGCAACTGACATCATCTCCCTGGACTTGTGCAAAGTGTTTGACATTGTCCCGCACGACATCCTTGTCCCTAAATTGGAGAGACATGGGCTTGACGGATGGACCACTCAGTGGATAAGGAATTGGCTGGACGGTCACACTCAAAGGATTGCGGTCAACGACTCAATGTCCAAGTGGAGACTGGTGACGAGTGGCGTTCCTCGGGAGCTGATACTGGGACTGGCGCTGTTTAATGTCGGCGCTTTGTCGGCGACATGGAAGGTGGGATTGAGCGCACCCTCAGCAAGTTTGCTGACAACACCAAGCTGAGTGGTGCAGTCAACACCCTGGAGTGAATGGATGCCAACCAGAGGGACCTTGACAAGCTTGAGAGGGGCACCCATGCAAACCTCATAAAGTTGAACAAGGCCAAGTGCAAGGTTCTGCACGTAAGTTGGGGCAATCTCAAGCACAAATACAGGCTGGATCGAGAGCAGCCCTAAAGAGAAGGACTTGGGGGTGTTGGTTGACAAGAAGGTCAACACGACCTGGCCATGTGCACTTGCAGCCCAGGCCAGCAGGTCGAGGGAGGGGATTCTGCCCCTCTGCTCCGCTCTGGTGAGACCCCCCCTGCAGTACTGCCTTCAGCTCTGGGGTCCTCAGCACAAGAAGGACATGGACCTGTTGGAGTGAGTCCAGAGGAGGCCACGGAGATGATCCGAGGGCTGGAGCACCTCTGCTGTGAGGACAGGCTGAGAGAGTTGGGGTTGTTCAGCCTGGAGAAGAGAAGGCTCCGGGGAGACCTTAGAGCAGCCTTCCAGTACCTAAAGGGGCTACAAGAAAGCTGGGGAGGGACTTTTTGCAGGGGTATGGAGTGATAGGACAAGGGGCAATGGCTTTAAGCTGGAAGAGGGAAGATTTAGATGACATATGAGGAAGAAATTCTTCATGGTGAAGGTGATGAGAGACTGGCACAGGTTGCCCAGAGAGGTTGTGGGTGCCCCATCCCTGGAAGTGTTCAAGGCCAGATTGAATGGGGCTTTGGGCATCCTGGTCTAGTGGAAGGTGTCCCTGCCTTTGGCAGTGGGGTTGGAACTAGATGATCTTTATGGTCCCTTCCAACCAAACCATCCTATGATTCTACAATCTGTGTGAGCCCCTGACATGTAGTGTTAGCCTTCATGTGTGCTCAAAGAGGAGGATCACCTCCGTCCCACCTGCACTGCACATGGACTGCCAGCTGCTTTGGGGCAGGGCTGGGGGTCTCCAAGCACTGCTAATTTGGTGGGCTATGCTGCCCCACACTGCAGGCAACAAGGGCTGCGGCGTGTGGATGATGTCCTCCAGCCTCCCACACCTGATCAACAACCAGATCAGCCACAACAGCATCTACGGGGTGGCGGTGTTCTGCCGCAAGGACAACGCCGGTGACTACCCCCCCAGTCAAGGAGGCAGCGAGAGCTTTCAAGAAGAGAGGGAGGGTCCCGGTGGGGAGAATGAGCCCGACAGCGAGGAGGAGTACCTGGCTGCCCGACGTCCCATCAGTGTGGCGCTGGTGGAGTTGAACAGCATCAACCACAATGGAGGTGAGCTCGGGGCCCGGGGCTCTTCCCAGGCTCCAGGAGAAGGGGTGGCATGCAGAATGGTGTGCTGTCCGGGCCCACCAGCACTGGGGTCTGCCAGGGTCCTCCTCAGCTGCCACTAGGCCAGGAGCACCCTGGAGAAATGGTGGGCTGAGACCTGAATGTGGGTGGATTTTTATCCTTAAGCTCCCAGTCAGAAAGTCATATTGTGACAGAAGAAACTGGGTAGCTTTTAGAAACAGAAATACATTCGTGGTCATCATGGCCGAGGCTGCACGCTCTTAACCGATCGCCCTTCTTTTTGGTTGGCAGCTGCTGGATTGCACATCAAGAGCAGTGAAGCGCTCCACATTGTCGCCAACGTCATTCACGCCAACCGCGATGGCGGTGTGGTGGTGCTGCGGAGCGGCCAGCGGACGTGCCTTGCAAACAACAGCATTTGCCGCAACGGCCGGGGAGGTGTGCTGGTCGAGGCCGAGTGCCAGGTGGAGCTGCGCGGCAACGGCATCTATGAGAACAGCAGCCATGGCATCGTCTCCAAGGGAGAGGGTGTCATTGCAGAGAACGACATCATCGGCAACCGCAGATGTGGCCTTCAGCTGCTGCAGGCAGCGGACATGAAGGTGTGTCCTGCAGAGAGCGGAGGGGGCATTGACTCGTGTGTCCCTGTGGTGGGGGCAGAGGCAAGACAGAGCCTGCGGCTGCTGCCCTCCCTCCCTGGGCGAGGGGAAAGCCAGCAGGCCCCCGGTTAGCGGGCAGGACAGGAGGGACTGCCCTGGCATTGCCACCGGGAGGACTGGACAATCAGGATCGCATCCTTGGCCCTGTGATTAGAGGGGGTGTAACTTCCAGGCTACATTAGAAGTGTGTCCAGCTGATTGAGTAAAGTTGTCATCCATCTCCTTTGCCATCGGGAGGCTGTGTCTGAGATGTTGTGTCCAGTTTGGGACCTCAAGGTCAAGAGGGAGGTGGAGAAAAGGGAGAAGGTCCATTGCAGAGCTACCGTGATGGGCAAGTGCCAGGATGCGTGACTGATGAGATGAGACAGACGGAGCTGGGCTTGGTTAGTCCGGCAAAGAGGAGGCCAAGGAGGATCTAACAGCAGCCCACAGCTACCTGAGGGCAGTCAGAGCCAAACCCTTCTCAGCAGTGCCAGGCAGTACAACAAGGGTCCACAGCACAAGTTGCAGTGGTCCCTGGGCCTTGGGAGGTCCACGTGGGAGACTGGTGGAACCTTCTTGCCTTGGAGGGTTGTGCAGCCCTGGGACAGGTCACAGAGAGGTGCGGAGTCACCATCCTTGGGGATTTCCAAGCTTTGGCAGGACAAAGCCAGGGCTGCCCTGATCTAGTGCTGTAGACAGTCCTACTCCAGAGCTTCCTTCCACCAGTGCTCCTTACCTCCAGGTTTTTTGTGGGCAGCCGTTGGGAATAGGCTGGAGAAAAATCAGCAGAAATTGTTTGAGGAAAGTTGTAGATGGGAATTAAGTAAGCATTTGTTTTTAATCAGGCCAGTAGTGCAAAACTAGAGTGCACTGCTCAGAGGAAAGTGACGTTTCCATCCCTCGTGGGTTTGAAGTGTGTCACATCATAACATCTGTCAAGAGAGGTTTAGAAGTGCTCTCTAGGGCCCAGAGGGAGGAGGTGAGATCTTCCCTAGCCTCAGCATTGTTGGGTCCAAGCTTATTATTACTCACATGCAGCTGGAAGGCACATGTGTACCAGTCGAGCTGGCCGTGTTGCCCCGGAGCGCTGGATGCCCACAGCGACAGGAATGTGAAAGGAGGAGGTCTGTTAGCAGCAGCATCTTTCCAGGTGGGCGAGCACATGGGGGAAGGGCTTGTGCGAGTTAATGCCATTGGTCAGTGGCAAAGAGTAAATTTTGGGAGTCCTATCTCAAGGCTGTATCCTCTTTGACAGTAATCTACAGGTGGCTTGTCAAATCTGTCTGATTTTTAAGCCTTGGTAAAGGACAGCTAAGTCATCATTTCTCATATGTGGATTCACAGATGGCTTGTAGGAGAGACCTCTCTTCCCTCAGAGCAGCAAAGGGAATCCTGTGCATTATGGTGCAATGACATTCAACCAAGTCCATCTTCTCCCAGGCTTGTCCCCTCTATTTAACTGAGTTGATGATCCCACAAACCTCTGTTGGAGATTTGCAGGCTGCATGAGCTGTGCTGAAGAACTGGGGTAGCTGGTGTCTGAACTAGATTTTTTGGCAGTTAGATGCAGTGTTCCATCCTCTAGCCAGTTCCCAAGGTTAGTACCTGGCTCAAGGTTGCCTCTGTTCAGTTCGTTGTTGAGATGAAGCCATCATGCATCAAAATGATAGATAAATGCAATTCAACTCATCATGGAGGACCCGTAAAATGAGTATACAGAAAGCCCTGTGAAGACAAATGCTCTGCATGCGTCCTGCAGGGGCTGCAGTCTTCTTTTGAAAACGATGCTGCAGAAAAATGTTGTCCTCTGGACGAGAAGCTAAAAATCGCTGGATTTTCCATGGTCCCAGCTGTCCAGTCTCCTGAAGCACGCAGGTAGGATTCGTGTTGCAGGGTTCATCTGAGGAGCAGAGCGTGGTCCTTGTTGAAGTACTGGTGATGTTGTGGTGCTGTCATTTCTCATCTGCCCAGTGGCAGAGCCCAAGAGGTGCCTAAGAGCAGGTGAGGTGGTGTGTGGTGCTGTGTGGGGAGCAGCGCTGGCAAGGAGCATCGCAGCAGCTGTTGCTGTGGATCCAAGGAGGAGAAGGGACCGGACTTACCTTCCAGATGATGAGAGCTGTGGCCTTGTCTTTCCTGGGAAGAGGGGACTCCTAAGTGTTCTTTTTTTGTATACAAAGAAGTGACAGCCTGTCAGTAGAGCCATTCGAAACCTGGAGGGCAAGGAGCAGCAGCAGGTTCCTGTTCAGCAATGTCTGTGCTTGTGTTTCACCAGAGGGGTTGGGTACCAGCTGCAGGGAAGCTTGTAGCATCTAGCACTGACAGCAACGGAGCTGCCAGCTGGGGTGTGTGGAAGGTCTTGGGAAGGCTTGTGTGTGCATGGCTATGGTGTGTTCAGTCTGAACCCCTGGTATGCTCCCAAACTGCCAGGGAGTGCTAGTGAGCCTGCGGAAGAGCTTTGGGGTTTGGTTTTGTGTTCATCAAAGAGCCATATGAACAATGTCCTTCTGCTTGGGCCATCCCGTCTAAAGCTTATTTTGCAGGTGACGAAGAACAGGATCCAGTCCTTTCGGGACTATGCTATTGCTCTCTTTGATGAAGCCAAAGGCCTGGTGCAGGAAAACCTCATTTTCCAGGGGAGATCCAAGAAATCCATTTTGCTACCAATATCACATGCAGAGGATTGCATCATCCAAAACAATGTGCTTCTCACCTTCAAGAAAAGGTGAGGCCCCTGGCACTGTGGAGTGCAGTTGTGAGCTTGGAGTCACCATTGTGCTCCTCTGTTAGGCAAGCACTGGAGGGCTCTGCTTTCTAGCTCCTCTTCCCAGCTTCCCATACCTGCTGACCCATGGCAACAGCCCCACATGCCTGGTGAACCACTGCAGGTGAGGACTGCAGATCAATCACAGCCAAGAGGTTCCTCATGGGGTACCTCTAATGCCAACTAAGGGGCTTGGATTATTCCTTGCCAGGCCAGTGTGGGTCTTCATGGTATCTCTGCGTATAGGGACATCTGCCCTGTGACCTGGCCAGGTCGTTCTCGTGCACAGTGCTGCCCTTGAAGCCTGGCTGCTGTGTTTGCATACTGCACTGCTGTCCCTGCGGTACGGACAGCCCCGTGGTGTTTGCAGCCTGGGCTGTGAGAGTCGGAGGAAAGAGGAAAGGTCAGAGCCACCCCCAGTCTGCATTGTGCTTTTGTGCTGGTGAGGAGGAGCGTGGCTTCCAGCACGGATTCTACCTCCAGACTTTTGCTACCGGAGCAATGTGAATGGCAAATGGGAAAATGGGTCTTGGGAGTGCTTGTTTTTCCTGGGCGTGATTTAGCTACCCTGGTCTTTGTGCCAGTAAAGAGAGAACATGTCTTCTGGTGGTCTTCAGAGGTACCACTGTAGCTGCAGACTTCTAATGGGTATTGCAAGGCTTTCCTTAGCTGCCAGCTGTCACCCAGATCTCAGTGATTGTCATCAGTATAATCCTTGTTCAAAAGAGGTCACTATAGACCAGGACTCTGTAGCAGACACCTGAGGAGGGAAAGCCAGAGCCCTGTCTCACATACAAGGGCTGGATATTCAGCAGATTGTTCTTTTTAGCTAGAAATTTGACCTTGACTCTTCTATCTGCGTCGCAAATCTTGGTCCAGGCTATGGGAGAGGAGACAGTGAAACTGGAAGACTTGCATTACTGGAGGGAGGTTATGACGTGGTCCCTCAGGTTGATGATGCTCTCACCTGGCCTTCCAGTCTCCCACAGCATGAAAGTCAAGTGCAGTAGACTCCTCAGTCTCAGCACCTCCTCCAGTGCCCTTAGCCCCATGATTTCTCCATTAGGTTTTCAGATCTGGCCCCCTTTAAGCAATTCTTGGGAGGTCCCAGTATTGACTCTGGTTCTGCAGCCTTTTGCCCCATCCCCTAGAACTTGCAGTCACTTAGAGGCATTGGCCGTGAAATCACTGAAAGTAGTTTTTGCAGTAAAGCAAGATGTTCTGTCTCAATTCTCTAACCCTTTCTGTCCCACTTGGGTTTTGGAACAGTCGTCACGTGGTGAGCATTGTGTGCCCGCCAACAGTGGTCTGCCCCTTTCCTCCTTGAAGGGTGAACCTCAAGGGAGTGTTTCTAAGTCTGCTCTGGAAGCGCTGTTTCACCCTGCTCATGGCCATGTCTGGGGTGTCTCTCCTTTTCCCAGGTTTGATATGGAGTGCATGCTGATCAACCCCCCAGCACGACCTCACATCGAAGGAGGTGCCCTGGGGTCCTGCACAGCGGCTGGTGGTCAGAGTGTTTCCAGCATAACCACCAGGGTGGATGGGGGCTGCCACAACCACGGGAGCATCTTCTGCACCATTCTTTGACCAGGGAGGGAGGTTCCTTCACTGGTCTCTCTGCCTCTGTTTTCTCTAGAGCTGCCACTGGGAAGCTCTCACAGCTCAGGGATGGGGACTCCCATTGGACTGTAATCCCTTTTCATGAAAGATTTTGCAACTTCAGTGCACCTCACTAAATAAAAAGTAGCTAGGCAAACAGCCATTAATGTCTTCCTCTTTGCCCACTGAGATTGCTGAGATGAAATGCGCTCCTGGCAGGACCAGACTAACCTCCCTTCCCGTGGGGCCTGCAGCACTACTTATTTGGGAACCGCTTCCTTTGAAGCTGCTTTGTCAGTGACCCTCTGCATTTGTGCGGAAAGACTCAGAGACTGACAACACGTCCTGTGTGGTCTTGCTCAGTTTGTGTTTGTGCCGATTCTGACCCAGAAGGGGCACACAGATCTACACAGACAGACGGATGCACAGACATCCCTGCCTGCAGTGCGGGTCCCTCCAGCAGCTGGGCTCAGGTGCTGTCTGCCCAGTACCTGCTGCTGCTGGGTCCCAGTCTCTCCAGTTTCTGGCACCAGGACACATGAGCAGACAGGGACAGAGTGCCTGGTCTCCCAAACCACTTCACCTCCTCGTTGGTAGCAGCCCTTGCAGATGCAGATCCGCACACACACCACTGATGCTGGCACCCATGCCAAAGGGAGAGCCCTCACCCTGGGCAGAGTTAGAAATGGTGCTTGATGAGCAGACAGGACAGACTGTGCTCATCAGGCACAGGCACAGCCAGACCAGCATCTGTCCTTGGCCACCAGTCACTTGTTCACACACAATAGGCCACTTTTCATCCCCTTATCCCTCTGTTTTCCCACGTTTGTTCTCCCCAGAGCATGTCAATGCCTGCGTTTCCCCTCATTTTGCTCCTCCCTGGGCATCCTGTAACAAGCCTTGTGCAATCCCGGACTGCCCTCCCCTGCAGGGTCCTGTACCCCTGGCAGTGACCCCTGGGTCTGTGAGGTGCTCAGGAGAGGGTGGGTGTCCCCCAGTCCATGGGGCTGAGCTCCCCTGGGACTGGGAGGTGCTGGGCAGGGGCTCATCGCTCTGGGAGTGTCAGCGGAGATCCTCCGCTGGCCCCTGGGGCTCAGGGCTCTTGCTGGGGGGGAGATGGGGGCTTGCACGGCGTAACCTTGCCTGACCAGCTAGCCACTTCTGCCTTGTCACCCCACCACCTAGACTGGCAGTCTGATCCCAGCTGGATTTTCTGTGTCTCATTCACATCGCAAGCTGTCCGCAGAGGTTTCTCCTCTGGTACAAGCAGGCCTAACTGCTGCACAATCTGATGTTGTCTGTTGCTTCTCTGCACACTGATGCTGTAAGAAAATCCAATCCTTTTTTTTTTTTTTTTTAATTAAGGAAGAAGCACTATTTTCTATAATCTCAGGAAAACTGCCACAAATAAAATGCTGTATTTAAAAGTTGTCTACATTTTAGTAATTGGGTTGCTTTCCAAGCTGAGTGAAGTTTTCCAAAGTGGCTTTTGGGGTGACACTTTCAGAAGGGGCTTGTCACACTGCAAGGCCATGGGATGCAGTCCTGCCCACCCAGCAAGCACACAAGCTGCACTGAAGCCTAGAGGGTTTCATATGCTCAGGAGCAGGTTTAAAGCCAGAGGTGAATGACAGCATCATAAGGTGGCAAATCTCTGCCTCAGCTCTATATATATTACTTCTGGGTGTACAGTCTGTAATGGATGCGCCCGACTCCGTAACCAAGTGGTCGCACTCAAAGAGTTGCAGTCAATGGCTCAATGTCAAAGTGGAGACTGGTGACGAGTGGCGTTCCTCAGGGGTTGGTATTGGGACTGGCACTGTTTAACATCTTTGTTGGTGACATGGAAGGTGGGATGGAGTGCACCTCCGCAAGTTTGCTGACAACACTGAGATGAGTGGCGCAGTTGACACGGCTGAGGGACGGGATGCCATCCAGAGGGACCTGGACAAGCTTGAGAGGGGAACCCCATGAAGTTCGACAAGGCTAAGTGCAAGGTCTTGCGTGTGGGTCGGGGCAATCCCAAGCACAAATACAGGCTGGGCAGAGAATGGATTGAGAGCAGCCCTGTGGAGAAAGACTTGGGGGTACTGGTAGATGAAAAGCTGGACGTGAGCTGGC